GTCCCTCCGGAAAGCAGATAAGGGTGGGGAGGGAAAGATGTCTTTGGTGGTGGGGTCGGATTGCAGATGGCGGAAGTGTCGGAGGATGATGCGTTGGATCCGGAGGTTGGTGGGGTGGTACGTGCTGCTAGTCACCCTATTTTTGCTGTACTTCAATCGATCATTAGGCCTCTCCAGATTATTCTGATGATTAACTTTTTTGATCATTTTGCTGATCTTCACTAATCATTCTTGTTTTCAAGTCCCTTCATGGTTTCATCTGCCCGTTAAACGTGTTCCCGAATGCTCTCCAGCCCCAAGATCTCTGCACTCCTCCAGTTCTGACCTCTTGTGTATCCGCAATTTCCTTATCCCACCATTGGCTGCCTCATCCCCAAGCTCTGGAATTATCCTAAACCTCTTCACCTCTCTGTTCTTGAAGACTGCTCTTTTAACCCACCTCTTCTAACCTTCTGTCCTTTAATTACAAGGTTTTGCCTGTTTTCTCAGGTGAATGTGAAAATTCCCATGGTACTATTTCGAAGAAGTGCAATGGAGTCACCCTCAATGTTCTGGCTAATATTTATCCCTCAATCACCCTCACAAATAAACAGGTTATCTAACAGGTCGAGGTTGTTTGTGGGAGCTTGCTGTTCACAAGTTCACTGCTGTGCTTCTATATTATAACAACTGTACTTCAAATAAATACTTAATTGAATATAACCTGCTTTGATTCATTGTAAGTTCATGAAAGATGCTACAAAAATGCATTCCTAATATCTCCTCATGTAGTTTGATGTCAGATCTTTCTCTGACAATGCTGCCATTTAAGCAATCATGCGACACATCCCTGTGCCAAAATTGCTATATAAATGCGAGGTGTTGTAGACCAGCTTACATTCCATTTCCATTGCTGATTCCATTTCCTGGGCCTCCTCCGGTCATAGATCCGGAACGCCGGTGGTTCAGAAAGAGCAGGGGCTCCAGGCACCGGGCAAACTCTGGTCTGTACTCCGTGTTAATCTGGAAAAGGAAATGACTTCTGTTGAACTTAGAACAGTTGGCTTTTTCCCAGTGGTACTCAATTCCTCATGCTGGCAGCTTGTATCTTACCTTGCTGCTCTGTGTGGGCCTCAGGCGATGGGGGAGTTTAACAATTTTCTGCAGTCTCTCCATGAGTTGCTGCGGACAGGTAAAATGGACAAAAAATGATGAAATTCCAATCCTGGATTAGGAATCCCAATGTACTCCTGGAGTTTTCATGAAAACACACCTTGACCCATCCCAGCCAGTCAGTCAGCTTTTCTTTTCCTCATTTCTAGTATTTCTATAACTTTTACTTTTAAACCTTTTCTCTGTGTTGCTTGCAGAATATTATGCTTTAGTTCCTAAAGACTCGAAGGCCATTTGTGAATGGTTAACAACATCTGCCACTTCTCAACTTCATATCTGAACAAATGTACTGAACTCAACAGAAAATAAATTAGACATTTGTGAAGATTCAATGCTTTCGGAGGCCTGAGCCTTCACATTAAATTAGTCCACATGCATGATTAGCAGGTTCCTCTCTGTTTTTCACATTGGGAGGTGGACCTCACTGAGGCAATGTTGTATCTTGTTCATCAATCATCCCTGCGGTCACTGGCTCCTGGTCTAGCAACACCTCAAATTTAAAATGCTTATTATTGTTTTCAGATCCCTGCATGGGCCCAACCCTTCCTAACCTCTGTACCCCTCCAGTCCTACACCTCTAGGATGCTGTACTCTTCCAATTCGAGCCCCTTTCATGTTCACGATTTCCTTTGTTTCACGATTGGTGGTGCTTTCTGCCTCCTAGCTCTCATGTTCTAAAATTCTTTCCCTAAACCTCTCTGCTTCTGTATACATTTCACTACTCCTCTTAAGATGTTGCTTAAAACCTACCTTGCTGACCACACTTTTGGTCATCTATACTAATGTTGTCTACTATGTCAAGGTTTGTCTGATAATCCCTCCTTTAAAGTGCCTTGGGGCATTTTTACAAGCTAAGGATGTTATATGAATGCAAATTGTTTCTGGTGGGTGGCATCTGATACTGTGGGTGAACAGCAGCAGTTCAAACTGGGTGGAGCTTTTCCAAGAAAACAGTACTGCTAACATTTCATCTAGGACAAAGCAAGGTGAGTGACCACACAGAGAGCACAGCAATGACTGAAATGACCCAGTATTACCTCAGCTCACATTTGATACCCCGTCCCCATGTAATGAGTTTTTGTCTGATTGCAGCCATTTACCTCAGATGCATGTTCAGTTGTCTTTAAATGGGTGAAAAATTATTGTCAGTCAGTACATCTTTATTTTACATCTACAGTTCTCATTCATAAACCACACCTGTGCTCACTGACTTACATCAGTTCCCAGACCACTAATGCTACCATGTTAAAATTCTTAGCCTTGTTCATAATTCTCCCCCAGGTCTCATCCAATCTCTGTAACATCCTCCATCTCAACAACCTTTGAGATGCCTGCACTCCTCCAATTCTGGCCTTTTGCACATCTCTGACTTCCTTCACACTTCTGTTGGCAGGAGTAAATTTGGCTGTCTAGGCCTTCATCTCTGGAAATCGCTCCCTAAACCTCTCCACCTCTCTACGCCTTAAGGCGAATCTTAAAAATTATCCCCTCAACCAAGCTTTTGTGTGAGATATGTATCTATCAACCTCAGTACGTATTGTTTAGGTGATCAGGAGACTTCCCTCTCCTGATGCTTAGTGACACCTGTTGGAAAGTATGAGCAGCTCCTTGTTTAAATGCAGCTTGGGCTCAACTGTGATGCCTCATACAGTTGTGTAGATTGTCCAGACTGCATACATGGTCAGATAAGTATCATCAGCACAGAAAGGAAACGGGAAAATTAACAAACACAAAGTGAGAAAGGAATAATTTTAAAAGATCATTGAATGAGAGAGGAGGCCATTTGAGATGGAATGCTCCAGAGATGGGCGTAAGCAGAGGAATCAATGGAAGATGGAATGTTGGATTAGTGGAGAGGTCAAAGAGGGTGGAATGTATATGGGATAGAAATGCTAAGAAACCTGAGAGGCATCACAGCAAGTTATTCTGACAATGTACTTATGAACTTCCTTCCCAGAAGGAAGGCCATCAAAATTGATCTTTCCCCTGTTCAATGTGAACAAACATGTGCGTGCATGCACACGCACAACCGCCTGCCCAAATTAGTGATCAGAAACTCCAAACCCAGGGGTTACTGCAGCAATGTCGGTTCCTATTGTTGACCCAGTCAACATTGACTAACTGAGCAGAGACAGTGTTGGATCAAACCTGGAACACAAGAGCTCAATGTGTTCATACCAACTAGAAAATTGAGGTATAATGAGGCCAAACATTCTAACAGTAAACTGATTTCATTTATTTACCAATTGTATTTTCAAGCCTTTTAGTGGCTGTTATGAGAGCACTTTCTTCCTTTCATGTCATTAGCCTTTCAGAAACCATTGCACATACTTACATAGCCCAAGTCCAGGAATTCAAACTTATTGGCAGAGCTGAGGAAAGCAGAACAGGTGACAAGGTGGACCTGACCAGAGAGAAAAAGGTTAGGGAGGGAAAACAATTAGTTGATCCTGTTCATTTACTTGAAGAAAGCAAAGAAAGAATTTCTTTTTTAACGTTAAACTTTATCATGTCTTCAAAACATTTCAAAGCATGTCACGCTGTGGTCCAATTTTGAGTTCAAGTGACTGTCCTGCACTGTAGAGAAAGGATGAGGCACACAGAGACAGATAAGTACACAGAAGTGAGAAAGAAGGGAAAAGAGAAAAAGAAACTTGCATTTATATAGCACCTTATGCAACCTTTGTAGCTTTATAGCTATTGCATTAATTGTATCGTAAATACAATACAGAAAATGTGGCAACAAGGTCTTAAAAACAGCAATGTGATAATGATCAGGTACACTGTCTTATTCATATGAATTGGGGATAAATGTTGATCCCAGGACACGAGGGAGATTCCTCCCACTCCTCTTCACAAAAGCACAGTGAGATCTTCTACGTCTTACTTTAGAGAACAAATGAGGCCTTGGGTCAACACCTCAGTTGAAAGATGGCATGTCTAATAATGTGGCACTCCCTCAGGGCTGCACTGCAGTGTCAGCCCTTGGATTTCTGTGCTCACAGATTGGTAAATTGTCAGAGACAGATTGTTGGGAATATGTTGGAGGCCAATGCCCAATGGCACAGAGTGGGGTGCCATATAAACATCAGCCAATCTTCCAAATTACTCACATCTGTGGTTTGAGGGATGGTGAGGATTAGCTCAGATCTCACTGTGGGACAGGGAATCTCCAACAGGATCCATGTTTTCACACACTTCCTGTTGTTGGCCTAGTGTTTTGATACTCAAGAGAGTCAAGGGTTATGAGGGGCAGGCAGGAGAATGGAGTTCCTGATTCACTCACCTGAAGGGTGGGTAACAGTGCAGCCATATTCGAGAGCTGCTCTTTAAAAGCTTTCTCTTTCTCTTCATGTTGACTGGAAAAAGAATCAGAAGTTTTAAAGCTGGAGTGAGGGTCTATTTTACTGCTTTTGTGTTTCTCTAGTCAATTTCCCACTCTCGCCCCATCTCTCTTGAAGGTGCTGTTAGCTCACTGAGGTTCAGTTCAATGGGTACAATGGTTGCCTTTAGTTTTCTAAGCCAACTGACCTTCATTGTGCAAGGCTGCAGCAATTGTCAGCAAGATATTTTGATCACAACAATATTCCTATGGAACTGATATCCACTCTTTTCCAGCAGGGGTCACTGAATGATCAGAAATGGGAACGCTGGCTGGTTACCGCTACCACAGCTCAGGGACACTAAGACTTAATATTATGGCCGTTACTGCTGGGTGTTTTTGTGTGTCTCTATAGCCTGCTGTTCCTCGTAATCCGTATGAGATGAAGATAGCATGTGAAGCAATGAGTCTGGATTTATTATACATCTCTGTATGTAGGAACCACCGTACCAAATAATGGGAAACAGAACTCACGTTCCAATTCATCTCACCCTTGTTAGAGTCATACAGTTCTGACAGCACCGAAAGAGGCCTTTCAGTCCACAAGTTCTATGCTGGTCATCAAACATCCATCTGTTCCAATCCCAATGTTACATTCAGTAAACACTCAAATTAATGAGACAATGTAATATCTGCTTAATTTGATACCCACTGAACAATGCCTTTGATGGGAATTTAAGGCTGTCCAAAACTAGAAGCTGTAAATAAAAGATAATCACCAACAAATTCAATAGGCAATTCAGGAGAAACTTCTTTACCTAAAGGATGGCCAAAATGTGGAACAGTCTACCAGATGGACTGGTTGAGGTGACTAGCACAGATGTATTTAAGGAGAAGCTCAATACATGAAAGGAAGTCTAAGATTATGTTGAACAGGTTAGATGAAGACAGGGTGGGAGGAGGCTCATGTAGAGCATAAACAGGCAACAGCCTGTGGGCTGAGTGGCTCAATGCAAGGGTAATTCCTGCAGTACACTGACAGCACTGAGCAGACTATCCAGGAAGAGGTGCAAATGGTACATTAGGAGAGTGGGTCATTGCTCAGTTCGAGTCCTGCAGCAGGTTGGGAGCAGTGCACCCTGACATTCCTCTCAGTAGGACACGTTGTCATGACAAACAGGGCCAATTGTGATGAGTGGGTTAACTATTCTAACTCAAGCTGCCCTGGGGCAGAGGAATAAAACTGGGTTGAAAGTTCTTTATATATTGTGCCCATCAGGGAAGCATTCAGATAGACACTTGCAGTTTGATACAATACATTATTATTAGGAGCTGGAAATCTGGTTGATTTATCTCCTCCCTCCTGTAACTCCGGCCTTAGGGAAATTGCATTATTTACCACAATCATAGCAAGTAGTTCAGTTGTTTGGAGGGGCCAGAGAAGCTGTTCTTCTCTGAGCATGGAAAGTTAAGCTGAAATTGAGTAGAGACATTCAAAATTATGACGGGCAGGGAGAAATAATTTCCACCGGCAAAAAGGGCACAGATGCAACATGATTGGCCAAAGAGCCAATGGCAAGAACATGAAGCAAAACTCAGTTTGATCTGAGACCTCATCTGAGTCAGCTAAACACCACCTCACCCAATGAGCCTTTAGGGAGAACCCTAGCAATATTGTGTTGTCCTGCTCTCCCACTCTGTTTCCCCCTGACAGTCCTCCTTGCTGCCCCCTGACAGTCCCCTCTGCTGCCCCCTGACAGTCTACTCTGCTGCCCCCTGACAGTCCCCCTTGATGCTCCTGACAGTCCCCTCTGCTGCCTCCTGACAATAGCCTCTGCTGCCCCCTGACAGTCCCCTCTGCTGCCCCCTGGCAGTCTACTCTGCTGCCCCCACCCTCCTTTCTGCTGCCCCCTAACGGTCCACTCTGCTACCTCCTGCCCTCCCATTCTGCTCCCCCCAACAGTTCCCTCTGCTGCACCCTGCTTTCCCACTCTGCTCCCCGCTGACAGTCCCCTCTGCTGCCCCCTGCTTTCCCACTCTGCCCTCCCCTGACAGTCCACTCTGCTGCCCCCTGCCCTTCCATTCTGCTCCACCTGACAGTCCCCTCTGCTCCCCCCTGACAGTCCCCTTTGCTGAGAAGATCACACTTACTTCTGAGCTGTTTTCAGCAGTATTTTCTTCCTCTCAGCTAGTTTTTCCTGGAACATGAAAGCAAACTATCAGGTCTTCATCATGTAAGTACCACATATAATCCACCTTGCAGAATCTCCATCCCTTATACACAGAGTGAAAGTGCTGACCCAGAAATGCTTCTATTAGGGCTGCACCACTCTATAAACCAAGGACCCAATGGACAATTGCCTTCTTTGTTTATTAATGGGACAGTCGAATTTGAGCATTGCACTCATGCTCGGGGCATTGATCTTGAGGGGATGCAGCAGTGAAGGCTCACCAGATTACATGCATGTAAACTTTGAGGCCTGGTTCCATAACTTTGGCTTATACTCACTGAAAATGGTTAAAGTGGGTTCCGACTGCAGTGTAGAAATATTAACAGGATTAGAAAGGGGAAAAACACAGAAAATGCTGCAGAAACTCAGTGAATCAGGCAGCACCTGTGGAGAGAAATGGAATTAATATTTTGATCTTCTTCAGAACAGTCGAGGGGAGAGGTTAAAAAGGAGAGCCCTCCATGGTAACTTCAGCCAGTATGGGAATTGAACCAATGCTGTTAGCATCAGTCTGCATCACAAACTAGCCATCCAGAGGTGAGTAGCTCACTTGGGGGGCTGGATCGCTGGTTGACAATGCAGAGTGATGCCAACAGCGTGGGTTCAATTCCTGAGGTTACCCACCTTCTTAACTTTGCCCCTTACCTGAGGCTGGTTACCCTCAGGTTAAACTTACAACCAGTCATCCCTCTCCAATGACAGACCAGCCCTATGATACTCTGGGACTATGGCAACTTCACCTTATCCTGATACATGGAGCAGCTTTATCACAGTAAAATGTCCCAAGTGAAAACTGACAATGAGATACATAAGAAGATATTTGGACAGGTGACCAAAAGTTTGGTCAAAGTTAGTTTTAAAGAATTATTTAAAGGACGACCGAGGGAGAGAGGCAGAGAGCTTAGTGAAGGAATTCCAGATTAAGGTACGGGCACAAATAGTGGAATGATGAAAGTTTGGGGTGTGCTAAAGGCCAGACCTGGAGGAGTACAGAAGTCTTGGAGGGTTGTAGGACTGAAGGAGGTTACAGAGGTAAAGAGGGAGTATGTCATTGAATGTATCAACACAAGCATTAGAGCTTTAAATTTATGATGTTGCCAGACTGGGAGCCAATGTGTAAAAGGCACAGGTGTGAAGGGTCTTGGTGCCTGACAGGATATTGCTAGCGTAATTTTGAAAGAGCACAAAAGGTGGAAAGTCAGAAGAGTGTTGGAATGGTCATGGTAACATAGGCTTGGGCGAGCATTTGAGCAGCAGGTGACAAAAGAACAGCCTGTGTGAATGAACTGCAAGCCTTCTCTGCCTGTCAATGGCTCCTTATACTCACTGATACCTCTATTTACTAAATTTATTTTGATCTTGTGTGTTACCTGCATACTGTTGAACAGCGAGCTGATGGCTGACTCCTCTTCAATGACATTGGCTGTCACTTCGTTGATCATGGCCTTCAAGAGGATGATGGCTTCTCGTGTGGACGTTTGAAGCTCCTTCACTGCCTAATGAAAACATTCACCATGAGGACCTTCCATAAGGACCTTAAAGACCAAAGGGCTTTAACATGGAGTAACTCCCTTTTTCTTGAGCTGACACATCACTTTCAGTATAATAATGTCAATTTAGTAATCTCATTAGACTTGCTGTCACTCTTCACTCAAAAGGCAGCATATTTACTTCTGAGTTGGAAGACTGTGAGTTCAAATCCTATTCCAGGGGCTTAAACCCAAAAATCATAACTGATATTCCTAGAATAAGGGGAATAGGGGTGTTTGCCCCACTGTCCTGGCCAATATTTATCCTTCAACCACCACCATGAAAAATCAGATGATCTGTCCATTATTGCATAGTAAAGGATAAAGTGACCAAAGTCCCACAGGACCATAGGGCTGCTCTCTCATTAGAGAGAGATGACTGGTGGTGGTTTAACCTGAGGGTCACCATGCCTCAGGCAAGGGGAGATGTTGAGAAGGAGAGTCCTTCATAGTAACCTCACCCAGTGCAGGAATTGAACCTGCACCATTGGCATCACTCTGCATCACAAACTAGCAGTCCGGCCAACTGAGCTAACTGACCCCCAGAATTATTATTACATGACAGTTTGTGGAATTATACTAAGTGCAAAATAGCTGCTGAGTTTCCTACATTACAACAGTAGCTACATTTCAAAAAGACTTCTTGGCTGTAAAACACTGGGGAGAGCCCACAGCCCGAGGTAAAACTGTGCCCAGCAAAGAATCAGATGCTTTAGTAAAGAAGGGGGTAAAGAATAAAAGGAGAGGTAAATGAAATCTTATACAGGTATTAATGCTGTTGATGTTTAAAAAGAAAACGATTACTGTCTGCCTCTGTTTTCATAAAGCAATGGCCATGAACAATTAATTCTCACAGACATTGAACATATTTTTAAAGCAGGGATCCTACATTATTAGCAATAAAATGGTTTTGAAATTAACAGAAATGTAAGGCTTCCTCCACAAAATTACTTTCTTAGTTCTATAAATTAGAATTGCAAGATTCCCTCTAATCTGCAAATTGCTGCCCACTCTGATCAGTGATAAACCATCAAGTGACTCAGCATGTGTTACAGTGTGCAGGAGATTGGCCTATAATTTCTGGAGCGCCCAGGACAATCTCTCCCTTTTGTAATTCACATACCATCACAGCCTGGTCCAGCTTCTCACAGCCTTGCACATATGCAGTCTCAATATCGATGCAGTGGGCTCGACTTTCACTGAACAATGAGATAAACAGTTAGTCAGATTTGAACAGCTCAAGAGAGGCACAAAAAACCCTTAAGTGTGAATTTATGTCAAGAAATATCTATACACCCTCCAATATTATCAACCTGAAATATTGACTCTATTCCTCTATCCACAGGCGCTGCCTGGCCTTCTGAGTTTTTCTCATTATTTCCTGCTTTTATTTCAGATTTCCAGCATTTTCAGCATTTTGCTAATATTCTCTATCGGCTCAGTGGGTAAACCTCAGCTGAGTGCAGGACTGAGGGGTCAGTACACACCTGAAAGACTGTGATTTCAGGCACACACTGAGTTTGCTGGTATCAACCAGTGTGGCAACTGGAGACCATTGCTGGTAAGGCCAGAAGGAACCAGCCTGGCTTCTTCCTTCAAATTGCTGTCCCTGCTAAAGAGATCTAGCTGATATTCTCCTCCCTACCCCAGGAGAACGGCAGCTTCTCCTAGTCCCACCTTGTCTCAGGTCAGACAGAGAACTGAGCCTGGAAGCCTCCTGGTCGAGAATCACTGGCAGGGAGTCATTGTTTGTCTCAACCAGCAAACAGAACAAGATCGTTATTTGCATGGGACTGAATTGCCTGTTTCTGTGCTGTACATTCTGTGGGTCCTGTCCCACAACTGTTTGACTCACACTTGCATGTCCCGAAAGCAGTTGATACAGAGCATGGACTTCTTCTCCGTGGAGAACATGATGTACGGTTCCTCGTGAAGAGCTAAAGAGACAAGAGGGAAACATAAGAACAAAAGAAATAGGAGCAGGATTAGGCCATGTAATTCCTCAAGTTTACTCCACCATTCAGTGAGATCATAGATCATTTTTTTAACCACTTTGCTGTTCTATTCCCATATCGTCTGATTCTATTTGTACCTTACATTACTAGATTACAATTGCCATGGAGTGGAATGAAGTTGACTATAAAAGAACATTGTTTGGCAGGGAACAAACACAATTTGTCTTCTCAATATTTAACTGAAATAAGTTGAAAGAAAAATTACAGAATGTTGCTTAAGCAGACTGATAATTTAGTGTGTGGAGAGTTGGGAGAAACGGTGGTTAGCAGTGTACATGCAGAAACTGACATGTTTTTGGATAATGTCACCATGGTGGAGTTTGCAGATGAAGTTAAGCTCAAGGAACAACACAACAGCTAAGAAACTTTGGGGGAACATAAGAGGTAACTGTTCAGGAATGGGAACAGAAGGCTCTAATGTGAATCTCTGACTACAACTAGATAGGTAAGAATGAAATCAGGAGATTACAAACCCAACCAGCTGGACAATGATTTTATCAACCAACTAAATTTTTACAATAATCCAACAACAGTATGCTGATTTCAATTTTTTAAAACCAAATTTAAACTAGGTTTGAATTCTCATTCCCTGTATTATTAATGTATGCCATGATTATCCATCCAGTCACACAACTACTGCAACTCCATAGCCATCCCCATCCCATTTCAATTTCATTGTCAACAAATGATTTGTAATGAGTTAGCAGCTTTCCAAGCCTGGGACTGTGGATCCTTACGGCATTTCTTATGCAGCGCCTTGGTGCGTTTGGCCAGAGTTACAATCTCGTGACGTGCAAACATTTTTGCTCTGTGTGTGTCATCACGGCAGGAGCTGCAGAGTGGCTGGTTACACGTGTTGCAGTAAAACATGGCATTTGCGTCCTGCAAGAGGCAAAATGAGAGCATCAGGATCTACAAGGAACTGATTATTGAGTGTTACCTTTGAGAAATGTATTGTGTGTATACACACGTGCACATGCATGCACATGCACACAATTTTTCCGTAAGCTGAGCCAAGGCATTGGTTGGGGATATCAATCCTGCTGTAAGTGCTACATGTATGCGGAGTTACTGAGTAACAATCAGGATTTAAAAACTAGACAAATACTTTCACTTCACAACATCAACTTTGATTTATATAGCACCTTAAATGTAGTAAAATTTAACACTGATCCATGTAGGAGATAATAGAGATAGTGGGAACTGCCGATGCTGGAGAATCTGAGACAACAAGGTGTAGAGCTGGATGAACACAGCAGGCCAAGCAGCATCAGAGGAGCAGGAAAGCTGACGTTTCGGGTCTGGATCCTTCTTCAGAAATA